TACACTGTGGCCGTCTGCGTCTGGTTTTTGTGGAATATTCGCATTTCTCGCCGAGCTCTGTTTTTTAGAGGGAATCAGCGGGTCGACTTCCAGCAACACCGAGCACGGGTCCTACCTTGTTGACGGCCGAGTTCTACAGTCAAATTCGTCGACGATCGTGTTGGGAGACATTCGGAAGGAGGTCTGAGGGGTGGACGTTACAGATCAGCTGGCGCTTGTAAGGAGCCTCAAATGTGGAAGGCCATTATCAGCTTCCGGTTGTTCCTGCTGCGTGCTGCAACTTCGGGTTACTTCAGCGCGCCTCCGTTACCCCGCACAGTGTTGCGATTTTTTAACAAGTAGCGCCGAAAGGAAATCACATCGGAACTAAAGGGAGAAGTCAATGAAACGGATCAACGAGTTCTACAGGGACTGTTTTCGCACTACCCCAATCAGCAGCACCGTCCCAAGCAACGGATAATAACACACACTACAGCAGCCAGCCTGGCTTACTTATCTCCGAAGAGAACTTACACATATCGCGGAGGAGCGCTCTCGCTGCTCGTGAATAGTGATAGCTTATCGACGTTCTTCAGCAGAATATCAATATAATCGAAGACCTGCTCCTCTCGCTGCTGCTCCTCCTTGCCAGCGCCCGCCAATTCCATGAACTCCTCTTCATCCATATACCGGGGCTCCTGAAAATTCCACTTCTCACAGCCTCTCCCACACCAAACAAAAACACAAATTTTGCTTTCAGACCCCCCCCCCCCTCTCCCTCTTTACTTTCCCCGGATTCCTTACAACTTGCATTTTCTGTGCAAATATCGCAGGCGAAGCCAGCAAGGACGTAAAATGCGAGGGAATCGAAACGCTCCTCTTACCACAGTCATCGTCCGAAATGATCCCGCATTTTTGTTACTTTAACCAATAAGCTGCCGCTCTCTTTCCTGCCCCAATACACGCAGCTGGAGCCTCAAATTCTGCCCAGCATGCCAGTGCTCGGTGAAGCCGTCTCACATTTGCCCAAAGTAACCGGAAAAGCCCTCAGCGAAATGCATACACGAAAAGATGAGATTACAGGTAACATGTCAACAATGCTCGTGTAACGGCGACTGATACAAGTAAACACCCAGCGTTGCTCGTGTAATACTCGAGTAATGCACAATCCCCAACGGTGCCCGCCCACTTATACAGGTAACGACCGTTCCTAAATGCAGTAGTGAAATGTGCCATGCAGCAACAGCAAGCAACAGCAGCGACAACAGCAACATCACCGCCGCCGCCAACATAATTTCACTTTTTGCCAGCTCTTCGCGGATATCCCTTAGTGTGCTGGTCTCACGCAAACGGTCACCAGCTTGTCAGTGCGCACTTCTTGGGGCCAATTATAAGCACTTCTCGCCGCGGAATTTCATCAAATTTCCCGTTTCCGCAGATTACGACGAAGCAGAGCTCGCACTTCCTAGCCCGTACATTCCTCAAGCAACACGCCAACAAACACAGCCCAAATTAACTCCACGCAAGCCAACCCCGCGCCCCTCCAACCCCCTAACACGCACGCCACCACCCCCGCCCCTCCCCCCTGACGGAAGTACAAGTCAAGCACATCGACGAGTATTGTTTCCCGCGCACAATATGGCGGCCCGTTAAGTTGTAGCTGTGAAAATTTATAATCTCGTGACGAACGCAACCGCACTGACCCAGCCAGCCGAGTGATTTTTGATCTCGAGAAAACGATGGATTTGCCGTTGTCGCAATTCAGAAGTATTCCCGTTGGAAACAGGACATTGAAAGTGCATGAAAATGAAAGTATTTTGGCATCACTGCTGTGTGGTAGTAATTATTATTATTATTATTATTATTATTATTATTATTATTATTATTATTATTATTATTATTATTA